AGTCTCTCTTGTTTACTTTGCTGTTCGAGCTGCCATTGTTGTTGATTTTCCTGTAACTGCTGTTGTCTTTCTTCTTGTTTCTTTTTATTTTCTTCCAACAACTGTTGTAATCTCTCTTCTTGTTTATTTTGTTGTTCGAGCTGCCACTGTTGCAGGTTTTCTTGCAACTGCTGTTGTCTCTCTTCTTGTTTCTTTCTTTTTCCTCCAACAACTGCTGTAATTTCTCTTCTTGTTTGTTTTATTTCTCCTCCAACAACTGCTGTAATCTCTCTTCATGTTTATTTTCTTTCTCCTCCAACCACTGCTGTAGTCTCTCTTGTTTACTTTGCTGTTCGACTTGCCATTGTTGTAGGTTTTCTTGTAACTGCTGTTGTCTTTCTTCTTGTTTCTTTTCTTTTTCTTCTAACAACTGTTGTAATTTCTCTTCTCGTTGTTCTTGTTTCTTTTCTTTTTCCTTCTAACAACTGTTGTAATTTCTCTTCTTGTTCTTCTTGTTTCTTTTCTCGTTCTTCTTGTTTCTTTTGCTGTTCTTGTATTGCTGCCATCAAGTCTGCTATGCTGTAGTTTGATTTGCTGCTTCTCGTTTCCATTTTTTTTTATCCCACTTCTGACACCAATTTGTTACGTCTCCGTTTGTTAATTGATTTTCCATAACTTTGTTGCGACGAAACTTTAGCGACACAAGTCCTTACTTAATAAAACTGGCTTATTCTTTCGGAATACAACTTTACGATACACTTATTTTCAACAGTCGTTCTATAACAAACGCTATATCAACGAACGTCAACAATACTTCTGACTGCAGTTCAATTACTCACTATCTACACAAACATTATTATCCCATCACGTTGTCACCCTCTTATATATATACCAGACTACCCTATATCTAGTAATCTCCCGACTATTCCCAAAGGTTCGAGAGGTGGTGTGACACTAGTCACGTGACCTCGCTGACGCAACAATATCTTACCTCCTTTCACAGAAAGCTTTCTTGTTGTATTGTCCTCTATCTGCACAAATTTTTGCTCACCACCAACCTTATTACTCTCACTTACTAATGCATAATAACATGAAAAGACCATAGACTATACACCAAGTGCAGAAAGAATTTGACCCAAACTAGTCTCTCTTCCAGTATGAAAATGGTCTCAGCAGTCGCGATGACAGTTCCGTGTTGTGAAGGGGCAGTAGTTGTGAAGACAAAAACAATATTTCAAGAAGGTATCTTTCCAAAAATGTAAATATCTATCTTTGGTAAGGAGACCAAAACTGTACCCAGTATTCCAAGTGAGGCATAATTAAAGGTTTGTATAGAGAGTTAATTACCTCCTTTGACTTTTAATCAGTATGTCCTTAAGTACACCCTAAAAAAATTACTAGCTTTACTACTAGCAGTCGACCACTGTTTTGACAGCTTGAAGAACTTATCCACCAGTATGTCACAATGTTTTCTTCAGTCGCACTTTTGAATTGGTTCCTCTTGAATAGCTGTCTGAAATTATCTGTGCCCTCAGTAGTCTTCTTCTTCTTCTTAGTTCCTGTCGTTCCTAGTGGAACATAGGGCTACAACAACACTTTGCCGACGGAAGTGTTGGTGCAGTTTCTGTAGCAGTTTTGTTTTTACAGGGCGGAGTTGCTAGCCCCCGTGCCCAACCCTCCTCCTTTCTCATCCTGGACTTGGGACCAGGCAATGGTGGTGGCATCCCTGCCGGGGAGCAAACCCGGTACCTTTGGATTGGAAATCCAACGCGCTATCCACTGCGCTATAGGGAAACCCCTCAGTAGTAACCTGAGGAAATTGAAGATAACTTTTACTTTGTAGTGACTATGGAATGTACAAATCTATATGTTATTAAAATATACATTTTAAGACATTTATGATTATCTGTTACTTGATTGCAAATCATAGAAAATATGTTAATGGCCAAATGGTTTGACAGTTTAGATGAACGATCTAAAAGTACGATCTAAAAGTACGCCAAACAATTCTTTGACTGCACAACAATAGTGTTAAAAGTTTGAAACCAACTCTAGAACACTGTTTATCTAAGGTTTCTTTTTTTTTTTTTGTGTGTGTTCCAAACTAGCATATTTGTTGGAAATAACTTTTTCCATTCTAGTTTTGGGCTTCAGTTGTGCCTAAAAATACTTTATGAATTAGATCTATTTTATTCTTTAATTATGTCATTAATTAGTTGTACTTTGAGTGTAAAAATCATACATATAATGTTTAGTTATGCAAGCCCTTCAAAATTGTTTAATGTCAGAGAAAGAGCCCTTTTAATGAATTGTTATGTGAGAGAAATGAAAGAAATCCAAGTTGTAAAGATGTATACACACTATCTCTTCATTGGTTTGTAGTTCATCAGTCATGTTCAGTGGATACACGGAAGTGGTTGCTTATGGTCGAGACTTGTTGGCATCTGATAGCCTAGAAAGTGATCAAGATGAAGAGTTTGAAAGTGCTAAGCTGAGAGGGAAAGGGGACTATTCATTTGGTGGTGGTGATACATTTCCTGTGGAAAGGGAAGATTTTATTGTGATTGCAGAGTGCTCAGAAGTTTGTGGACCACTTCCTCTGGTAAGTAATGCAGTTATGAGATATTAAAATAATAGACACTCTATAATTCATATTTTGTAAATTTTTTATTCAAAGAGTAAATTTAAATGATCATGTTTCATTGTAACAATCACAACAGTTTTAAGTACGGGGTGTTAAAAAGTATTTACCAAATGATATACTTACTACTCTATACACAAGAAGTCATTCCTCACACATCTGCTTTTGAGATTTTGCACATATCACTTGCCTTAAGCTATCTCCCACCTAAGACACGTGTTATAATATGAACTGTGCTAGTGCATGATGTAGTAATTATGTGACAGTAGCCCTCCACCAATAAGAGTGTAACACATCTTTCTTGTGTAGTAGGTCCCCATGAACACTTGCACTTGAAATTAACTTCATTCTTATCCTTGACCCTGTCTTTAATCGACATGCTTAAGTTTAAACTTAACTAGATTTGACTTAGAGAATTGCTACAATGATCATGAATTCTCAAGTGACAGTGACTAATACCCCCTCCTGAGGTTTATGGCAATGTTGCTTACACTGCCCTTACTTTCTGTGGCCACTGGATGCTTGTTGACTGTGGAAGCTTAAGAACTTGAATGACCTGCCTGTTGGTTGCATAAGAGGTCCAAAGGTCTGCAAACAGAAACAGGTTTGTCCCTATGGAGCCTGAGCTGAGTGGATAAAAAGGGAAAGAGTCACCAATGGAATGTGTGATGGCCAACAACCCAACAGGAGGGAGGCTGGTGAGAAGTGGTAGAGGGGCAAGAAATGTGAAAAGAAGGAAGTGGAGTTGAGGAATGGGAGTGAAATTATGAAGTTCTGAAAGACAAGAAATCATTGAAAGAAAGGTGGACTGGTGTCAGGCTGCATCAGTCCGAGTCTCTAAGGCATTAAGAACACCCCTAAAACTTCAGAGTGAAGAAAAGGAGCCAATAAAGGTCACAAAAGTCAAGTGGGTAGAAGAGACTCCAGGGATTGGAAATCTAGTAATGAAAATGGGGAGCCACAAGTCATGGCGAAGGAATCCTAGAGTCAAGAAGGCCAGGAATTTGAGAGTAGGAACTAAGCTGATCTAGGAACATGTCAACATAAACACATATGTCTGGACAAGGAGGAAACCTAATAATCCTCAGAGTGAATGTAGTAAGGAATGAGAAGAACCAAAAGACAAAAGAGAAAGTAAAGAACAGATCTGAGTAATCAAATCCACAAAGATATTGAGAGAGGAGGCAAGGAAGGCATCAAAGAACCCATGACACAATGATCTATGGTGGTAACTACCTGACCTTTCTATTCACTTCTTGTCTCTTTCTACTGTAATCTCTTATCCAAATCCTTTTCTTCCTTATTCTAGTTTTCAGTATCTTCTCTATCTCGAGACTGCTGTATCGGATCTTTTGGACATGAAAGCCATCAAAAGGGTCCTTTTCCCCTTTCATTAATTTAAGATCAAGGGGTTTCTTCCTCTACATTGACCCTCAAGCATCTTATTTAGCATACACAAAATCTGAAAGGCACACATGTGAGGAATTGCTACTATCTGCAGAGAAGTACATATCTATTGGAAATAAATTTTTAGGTAAGGAAAATGTCAATGTTCATAATTATCAGGGAAGCTCTTTTAAAAATTGATTGTGATTTCATCATTTTTCCATTTATCTGATTAGCTCTGTTAAATATGAATTATTACATTTGCACAACTGTATACATTTTTGATTCAATGAATTTTCTTTTTCAATTCTATGCTTTTAACCCTGTTAAGACCAGTGAGCACCTTTCACATATTGAGTGCACATCTGCATATAAAATTACGCATTTAAATAAAAATAATAATTGTAGCTCCATATGAACCATTTTTAACTTAAAAATATTTTAAAATTGTCATTTTGTAATATTTATTTAGTGTAATTTGCAAAAAAAAAGGAAACATGTTCAAACTTATTTCTATGTAGGTCCAAGAAGGTTCATCTATAAACAAGAGTTATGTTTTTTTTTAGAATTTTTGTGCTCATTCCAAAATGTAGATTTACATTTGTTAAGAAATTATCATTCTTTTAGAATATAATTATCCATCTTTTGTTTATTGCATGATTTTTCTTCTCTTTCACTGATTTTATTGGTACAGCTTCTTGTTCCTACCCATGTGAATCTGAACAGCAACTAATGAACCTAAGTTTTGAAAATAGCTACAAAGTATAAATACTGTTGGATAGAACAGATTATAAAATATTTATGTCAGTGTAGAGTGAATAAAGTGGCATGAAATGTAACTTATGGTTTTAAGGTAAATTAACAAGACGTATCTTCTGCAAGGAAGAACAATAGAATCTGATATGTTTAGAAGACTTCGAACAAACCCCCAGATTTGGCTTTTTTTTATAATTTCTTTATATTGCTCTTTTCATGTTGAATCATGTCCTTTTGAAATCTTCAGAAATTTTATTCTATGACAAAATATTCTGATGACTCTAATCCTTACTTGTTGAATATTATTGTTAAGTTTATTATATTCCTACAACACATAAATAAAATAATTTATTATTTATTGAAAACTATTTATTAGATATAAATTGATTTTGACAAGTAATATTGTTAGCAGAAATAGTCACCTAGCCTGACCTTACGCATTTTGAAATTCAGGTCCAAGGTCACTAATAAATCTTTGTTATTTTAGGCAGTGTTTTTATGACATATAGCTGCATGTGATGACTGCATTCAACAACATAAAGTATCAAACAAAATAGGTTAATGAAAATCAATCAATTTAAAATTGACTGGATATATAAAATGGGACTTCTAAACAATAAAAAAAAATTAAATTCAAAGACAAAAAGAAGTAATTTTACCATTTTATCAGAAAAAGTACCTCACAAGAAAATTTTGGAACTTTCCTGATATAATAGATGATAGAAAAAATTAAATCAAATCATACGAATTTTTTTCAAAGCTGAAACTAGAAACTATTTGATAGTTTTTTTTCTAACTTGCATTTCAAATGGTTAAGTATTTCCACTGTGAAAAGGAAAACAATTAAGTGATACCCATGACATCTCTTCACTCCAGCAAAAGGTCATTATACCTTTGAAGCTCATAATTTGAATCTTCAAATGTATGTGTATATCCATAACTTGAAAAAAGTTATTGATACTTCTTTTACAGAATAATACGAAACATCCAAATTCTGGTAATTCATAGTGTAGTTTATATATCTAATTAGTTTCTAGATATGAATAAATTGATTTTTTTTTTATTTTGATGTTAGATGTTGTCAAGTAAAATTTCCTTTGAAAACTTTTGCTCTGGTTGTGTGGAAAGTAAGGTCATGTGAAATTGATTTTGTCATATAAAATATTGTACTTGTTTGACTTTGTGATTTTTTGATTCAGGTCATGTCATCGTATTTGTTGACTCACATTCAAAACTTTATTGAACTATTATTTTATGAATTTATGTCAATAAGTTTGGTATCAAACTTGAGATTATAATTCAAAGTTTAGTATTATACATTATTTAATTTCTTGATTTAAAAATAAATATCAAACACTCCTAAACATCGATTTTTGTGTGTCACGTGGTATGTTAAATACAGCACTGGTTAAAATTAGATGTTTGTGATGTTGAACTCGGAAGACACTCTTATTGAATGTAATAAGGGCTAATGCTCTCAAACACACTACTATAGTTGCAAACAACATTAATGAACTCAGAATACTTGTATGAGAGGAATTGCAATAATAAAATATTCTGAACACTGATATTGGATGAAACACAAAACTATTCATCTTGGACACTTGTATCAGAGAAAAAAAAAGACTATAGGACCTAAAACAGTTAAATGAAAGGAAACAAGGATTAGTAGACTCAAAACTCTTGTATGAAAGGAAACAAAAATATGGAGTTAAAAGGAATCAATGCAAGGCTAACTGACTTAGAACATTTTAATATTGCTAACAATTTATTAAATATATTTTCTTTTTTTAGATAACAATACCAGAAAATGGAGGAGATGGTGTTGATCTGAATGAATTTGTTGTCAGAATTTTGTCAGCTGATTATGAAGGACTCGGATCGTATGTATAACCTTTGTAATAAATACCTGTGTTATACTTTTTCCAATTTATCCTAAAGAAAGAATGTCTACCTTCTGATAGCACTTGGATTATTGGTTTCTTATGTTGTGTTTCATCTAATGTGTGTTTTTTATCTCATGAGATTTCTGATTATCTTGAATTATATCTTTAATATAGTCAAACTTTTTTCTTCCTTTTTTAGTGTTTATTTAATATTTTGAAAAGCCAAAACAATCTTTTGTTCAGGTTTTGTTCCTTGTTTAGTTTTGTTGTTTTGGTTATTCCAGAACTAGATTTTCATATGTAAACTGTTTTCATGCACAGTCAAGTCTTCTGTTTTGTTTATTAGTTTGAGTTTTTATGTATGTGGTTTTGTTACCTTATAGTGTAATGCATTATAGGCTATTCAACTTTTTTGTAGCCTTTACAATTGAATCAGAAACCACCTATTACATACACTGTTTGCATAAGTAACCTTCTAAGTTTGCAATGTAAAGAAAAATTTCTGTTTGATTTATTTCTTCAGGTGGTATGTTATATGTATCAATGGACAAATGCCTTTCAGGAGAAATGGTAATGACAAAAATACACCACTTCAAATCTCAACTTGTTTACTTACCTTCACCTTGATTCAGTATTATAGTAAAAATCAATTTTGTATATATATATATACATATATTAACACTTTCACAATGGGCTCGTGTAGTTTACACAACCTTGTAACCATGGTGCTATACATACTATAATTCTGAAAGTACTTGTTGTATCGTCAGTAAACATCAAAGTTTATAATTTTTAGTTTGTTTTGTGTATCTTCATGAAATTTGGCATGCTTTCAGTAAACATTACAAGTCTTTTGTAGCCAGAAAATCAGGATTTTTAATTACTATTTTTACTAAAACTTTGTCCATAATTTTATAGAGTCCAAGTGTTGACTGCTCCAAGTGCAAAGTGATTTTCATGTTAAGATTAATATTATAACCACTATAAAAATTAGGAAATAATGCTAAATTACCCCTTTTTTCTTTCTGGAATGATTACAAATTTTAATATGGAACCACAATTATTTATTATAAATAGCTGAAAGCTTGTAAGAGTATACATTTATTTATACTTAATTTTATTGTTTTATTTCCCTTTGAACTGTATTTAACTAATAATTCTACCACACAAGTTGTAAATCACTCAGTGAAGGTGCAGCTCACATTACTGTACCGAATTATGTAATGCACGAGCTGCTTGCAAGCATATTTTGTGAGGAATTTTTATTATTGTTATTATTTTTTATCATACCTAATAAGTTTCTAATTTTTGCATTTTAATTACATTTGTAATGATACATAAAGAATACTCATGGAAAACAAGACTGCAGACTTTTGATGGAACTTAAGCCTACTTTTTTTTATACTAATGATACTACTACACTAAATATTTTTTATTTGATTAAGTAATGCAACTAAAAATACAGAATAATAACACTCCAAGAGCAAACAATGTCCTATAACTATAACAATTTTTCTGGCTTTATAACTATGTGGTTTTAAAAATTCAGCTAAACCAGTTGAAGTGATTCTCGTGAGAACAAATATGAACCTGAAATAGGAAATAGACAATTTTTTGCACAGAAAAAAACATAATATAATACATTATTTGAAAGAATAAAACTTAATAATATAGTATAAAATGTCAGAGAAAACGTATTAGTAATTTGTGACAGGGAGGATGTGACAAGTAGGTACGACAAATGGGTCTTATTTTCTAGTTTATGACTTAGTAAATAAATAGGAATGAAGGCTATAAAAATTAGACTTTACCTTAATGATATCTATATTATAATGAGTTAGTTACATTAAATTGTGTACTTCAGTGAGGGGTGGTAAATAAATTAGAGAAGGGAGAAGACATGGTGAACAAATGCTATGATTCTCATGCTAGAGAAGATTGAGGATTTTTCAAATATTTCCTTACAAAATTAAGAACTTAAAACTTATTTATCAGCTGTTTATATTCATAGTGTATTATATGCATTATTAGTGTATGTCAGTAAAATTGGCATCACAACTTAGTTCAAATTTTAATGTCTTAATTTCTTAATTCGAAATAAAATATTTAAAAAAATTCCAAGTATGCTTTTTTGTGTGTCATATGACATCTCTTCTTCTCTTATCACTCAGTTTATATTTTATTATGCCTACTAACCACAATCTGTAGTGTTTAACGAATTATAACCTCAAAATTCAGACATTTACAAGCTAGAATATAATAATAAGAACTTCCCAACTTTTTGACTTGATGAGATATCAATATATTTTGCAAACCTACGAGGGTAGCTCTGCCCACTACTCCATTCTTTTGAAACCTCTTATCTTCTCACTTCTACATTTCTTAAGTATATGTTTATAACCAACAGAAAGAGCACATTTCCAATTACGTAATTCTGATAGTCATTTGTAATTGGCTTGAAGGGGGAAATGTTGAAGTCTGTTGAGGAAGTCATTGCTGTGAATAGAAATTAGATTTTATTTAACCCATATGTAGCTTATAGTCAGAAAGCCAGGTAAATGAGAGCAGTTTTAAGTGTACCAATATAGTAATTTGAAAGTTTTCGTTTTTCTAAAATACATTTTGAAATATACAAAAATTAATTTGTCTTCCCCTCCACGTCAAAAAATAAATTAGGCATACGACAAGGCTTAGCAACTATGATACGTGAGTACAAACCAATTTTGTAAGGTTGTAAGTACAATATATTTTTGTCTATTTTTTTTTTTATGTTTTAAGAAAAATAACTGAAAATTAAGCATTTATGAGTAAATAGTAACAATACATTTTCATGTTCATAAGCACTTACACACCTTGTACATCTATACTGCTAAATTCTGCCCTTTTCTTGAGGATAACTAATATCCAAATACATAATAAGTTAATTGGATTGGCCTGCTTTATACAGAGCCATATTTTAAACATTTTCTTGCAATTTTATTACTTGAGGCAATTCTCATTGCAACCACTGTACTATAAACAAACTGATAAGTCCTCTCCCACTGTATTCTCAGAGCCGGGATTACGATAAACTCTGTAGGAAAGTTCTGGTAATTGTGCCACATGAGCTTATTTGCTACCAGTGGTGTTCTAATATGTTGTCACATGAACAAACTAATGGCAGGGGATGTGCTTTGAACTTTATGGACAGTACTAAAGAGGATAAAACAGTACTATCCACTTTATGTTGCATTCTTCAACCTTCAAAGTTTTATGGTGGTTATGAGGGCAGTCAAATTGATTGACCACATACAGACTTAGGGTAGAGAAAATAACAGGTAAAATGTAAAATTTTTCTGAAAAAAAAACCTATTGGATAACAAATAGTTTAGTTAAGTACAACTTATCATGTTAAGTACTACTTTAGTGCTATAATATTTGGTTTTATAAGTTAATAAATTAGTTAGATTGGACAATAACACTAAGGTATTGATTTGAGCAAAATATACTGTATCAAAATTATGTCAGTTTAATCAATAGTCTTTAATTTACTTCATGTTTACCTTGATAAAGTTGGATATATTTTCTAAATACTAAACAAGACAGATGACTTACAGAAAAAATAATAATACTGTAAAAATCGTGCTTTTTACAACACACACTATTATAATTATTATTAATCTGTAGCTTAAGAGATGAGATTTTCCAGCACAGTAGTAGTGAGCAACAACATGAACCTCTTGATTATTTAATAGTAATAAGTGCCAACTTAGTGAGTTACTATGTAGTACATGAATTTATTTGAATATAATATATGTGTTTAATCTGTTAAACAAACAAAATATGTTGACATAGTTTTGATTGTCTGTAAGTTTTATTTTGCTTAAAATGTTGATTGAGTCTTGATACTGTAGAAGTTTTTTGTTTGGGAGTACAAGGTTATAATTAAAAAAAAAGAGTGGCTTTTTTTATGTGAAAATACACTGAAGTTAGTGAAAGTAAATTGGGGCTGTAAAAATGTGGCTTTAATTTAGGGTTGAAAATCTGTTGTGGTTGCTAAGTGAATGTGATCGTATATACATAAATGGACAATAATTTTCTTACCTGATTTTGTTAGAACACAATCAGATCTTTAAAGCCTGAATTTGGGCTGTTCTTCTTTGCAAGGTAAAATATAGGCCACAAAAGTGACAAGATGGAAACTTTTTCTTCCTAAAAACTTTAATGAATACTTCTTCTAATACGGTACATTACCTCTTCTCACATATATATTGCTATTCTCGTTCACTGTTGCCTTCTATATGCAAAAATATTTTCGTATGCCACAAGCCTTCCACTCCAACTTACCTCACAATTATCGTGGTTCAACTGCATCTCGCATGCAAATCATTATGTGACAACCCTCCAACAATAGGAGTGCGACATACCCTCTTGACACATGTGACTCCCTCTATTCGATTCTACTGAACTATCATTTCTCATTAGATAGTGCTATAGTGAAGACATGTTTTGATTTTGTTCTTGTCACATGCTTTTCTTTTTAATATTATCATATGAAGTGGAAATATCATTTATATCTTTTACTACTGTTTTATTTTTTAGAGTTTTCAGTGATAATTTTCCTTAGTTATTCTTCTTTTTTATTTAAATAATTTTTACATTTTCATCATTTTATGATGGATACCAAAGTTTATGTTACCACTTCCAAGGTTCTAACACCTGCTGTCAGCACAATTACACAGGTATCAGATCAAGGGGGAACTCAACTGAAGAATTTTCAGCCTTAATTCATTGGGAGATTGAACATTACCGGATTCTACATTCTTCTCCTGATAGTGCTCGACTGGGTTGAGATGGGGTGTTCCACAAGATTGCTAGTAGGTTTTTCCCTCACAATATATTTGCTTCATTAATATGCCCGTTTTGGACCATACTAACCCATGGATTTACATGGGTAAAGCTGCCCATCCTTGCCAATCCTTTGATGGAATAAATCAGGGGTGGTCCGCTTAAAAGCTATAGCATGAAAACTATAACAAGCACAAAATGGTTACAAGATTGGTCCGAGGGACCAAGCTCATGCTGAAAGAGTTAATATGCCTGTTTTGGATCATACTAACCCATGGACTTACATGAGTAAAGCTGCCCATCACTGCCAATCCCTTGACTGAATAAATCAAGGGTGGTCTACTTTTCAAAATAGGGTTTTTGTGGTCAACTATTGCACTGTCTCTGGTGTTAGTGTTCCTTCAGACTCTCCATTGCATTTTCTTCCCCCTTGTTCATCTCTAGGAGTATGGGAGTCCTTGCCACTTTCCAGTTCTGAGCCACTGGGGTGGTGGACCATGGAGGTATCCTCCTGAATATGATCTAATGCCAATAAATAAATACACAGCATCCATTCAGTTGAGAGTAGGGTGGCTGTGTTCTGCTGGAGTAAATAACATTGGTTCTCCATTCATGTGCTCCATCTCTTTACAGTGGGCTCCAAGGGTTAATGTTGCAACCAGCTTCTGTGACTATCTGGAGGGTGCAGTTGTGTATCATTTATAGTGGCAATCCACTTTTGTGTGGTGGTAACTGGTTAGCAATGTGATCCAGTCCTGTACGGTTCTATCTGAGGGGATTTGGTTGCACACTTACAATACCAAATGCACTCCACCTTTGTACGATGGGCTTCAAAGGTTGATGTTGCACCCAGCTTCTGTGACTATCTATAGGATGAGGTTGCATATCATTTATAGGGGGAATCCACTTTCGTGCATGATGTGTTCCAATGCTATACAGTCCTGTCCAAGGGGATGATGTTGTGCAAGTCTACTAATAAATATGCTCCATTTCTTTACAGTAGGCTCCAAGGGTTGATGTTGTGCCCGGCTTATGAGACTATCCAGAAGGTGCAGTTGCAAAGGGCTTATAGGGGCAATCCACTTCTGTGTGGTGGTATCCAGAAGTTCACGATGTACTCCAATGCTGTACAGTCCTGTCTGAGGAGATGCTGTTGCTTTGGAGTTGATCCATCACATTGCAGTTCACCCATTTGATTGGGATCCCTTATCCTACCATCATATGGATGTTAGATATCAGTGACTGGTTTTGGATTTAGAGCAGGACCAATCAACATAAGTGCTCACACATGTGTTGCCTGTGTTTTTCCTAGTCTTCACTCATGTTGCCTCATGGTCACAAAAGGGGGGGGGGATAATGTTGAAGGAGGTGATGGTTCTGGCACTCCATCTCAAGGAATTTTCACAGCCTGAGGCTGCTGTTGCACAGTGGGGTAAATATCAGATTGAGTTTTAGTATGATGTGACCTTCCACAGGGGCACATCTCTTACTGCCATTATTTGAATGTTGGGTTCTTGGATGTATGGTTAGTTGTGGATTGTGTACATGTGCCCATTTCATAGATCAGTTTGCATGGTATATATTTCTGTTCTACTGAACTTGAGTTGAAGATGGTGTGGACCCTCCTTCTACCACGTTTTGGAGGTTATATTTCTGATTCTGCTTGGTTTTGGACTGGAGTTGACCTGCTGCATATGGTCTGTCGTGCCCTAGCCACTCTACATATTGGAGCACATCCAGTTTTGCTTTCCCCAACATTACTATCTGTAGAGGATTCATCTACTGCCTCTTTTCAAGAGGATTGAGATTATAATATAATGTGGTTCAGATTCCAATCCAACTGTCTTCTCTCCATTTTGGTTGTGCTCCTCCATTTTTTCTGCCAATGTCTGTGACATCTCATTTGTCACTGGGTGAGGAGTATACCTGGTACAGAAGTGATGTGGTCTCCCACATATGATTCTCTATTAAGAGGATCATCAGTCTAAGGTGTTCTTTGGATGCTTTCAAAGGATGCTTCTTTTTATCCCTTGCACTTGTCCCTCCACCTACTCAAGGTGGGATTCTCACTATATTTGTGAGGTAACGTACTGTATTGGAATTTATAATTTTCCTATACTGAAAATATATTTCTGATAGGTACTTACCTCCTCTCACACATCCCACCCATCCTCCCCACTAAAAACCAATTCTTACTTCTTTGCCTAAACTCGAAGTGATAGTTTGGTAGATTGGAATATAGGGAACTACACGTATCAGGAAGTTGTGTTGCATTCCTATTAGTGGAGGTTTGTTGCATGATGATTTGCATGTGAGATGCAGTTTAACCAAGATAATCTCGGAGTACATGGGAGTGGAAGGCTTGTGGCATGCAAAAAATGTTTGCATATAGATGGCAGCACTGAACAAGAATAGCTATATTATGTGAGAAGAGGTAAGTACCTATCAGAAATATATTTTCAGTATAGAAAAATTATAACTTCTGTACCTGGCTGCTTTGCTTGGGATTTGTAACATTGACATAATATTTCGTATGGCTGTATTTCATCAAAGGCATTGCTTTTATTTACTGCAGTGCGATAATTATAGGTCATCTCACAGTTTTCAGCATTGTAGACAACCCATGGAAATAGTTTTTATATTAAGGTTAAAGCTTTGCTATTTCTTATCATGTTTTTTTATCTGATGCATTTGTAACTTTTTTTTCTTTTTTTGCATGGGGCTAAAACTTGATCTTCTTGAACTGTTGGTATTTCATTCCTGATATGCATGAAGAGAAAGAGAGTTCAGTTTTTTTGTGTGAAAGATTTTTCAATGTGAAGTTCTCTGATTTTTCACTACTGTGCTTATCTTTTAAAGTGAGAGAGAGAGAGAAAAAAGATCTGATCTCTACAGAATGCAGGTAGTGACATTTTAAATGTGTCATAAAAATTCGGAATTGGTTTGATTTTCCACTTTATCTGTCCTTCCATTATATTATCCGATAATGTTTAACCTACAATATGATGACAACTTAATATTGTAAATAAACCGATAAGCAAATAGAAACAGTTATCAATGGTCACAGTTTCTCTGACTTTTTATTTGTCACTTCCAAAAAACATTTATAAATGATGAGCATTGAGCTATAGCAAAAACACTGAACCTTGGTTACAAACTAGTGGTCTACAGCACAGTTTCCAGAGCAGGCTTTTATGTAGTACATTGAGGGCAATATTAACCTCCTCCTCTTTACATACTTTTCCATGTCCAAAGAGACTTTCAAGGGCTTGTTTGAGCAATGCAGAGACACTGAAGTCTATGTGAGGTGCATGCAAACTATAAAGTATGAATTCCTGCTTGCATGTGTATCTTTAAGAAGAACTAGTATGTTGACATGGACATTTGGCTAAATGCTTTGACTTGATAGAGCCACACCTTTCTGTTATTCAATTCATACAAAGATGATATTTCATCGTGGTACAATAATGTCAGCACATTAGCCTGATAGTGTGCTGATTTCTTCTAGACATTTTACTCAACTCTCTGAATGCTTATCTAACAGACTTGCATGCATTGATTCAATGTACTTGTTGTTTGGTTTGTTTTATTGTACTGTAAAAAAGGTGTTGAATAAAATAGTTTGAAACTTCAGAAGGTCTTTCTACAAATTATGTAGCTTCTGCAAATTAAATGCTTCATTTTTATGTGATATTTGGATAGATTCACTGCATTAAAAGTTCAAAAATATTTCATTGTGATAAGTTGTAGGTTTTATTTACTGATATTCATGTCTTCTTGTATTCTTTAAAAACAGCAAATTTTAACTTTGATTAAAAAAACAACAACACCCACAGTTGCACTGTGTTTATGATCACTAGCATACAATAAAAATAACTGTTTATATCAGACCAAAATTATAATTAAGCCAACTTTTTTAAGTTCTTAATCAGGTTTCATTTAGTACTGTTTTTGAATGTAGTCAGACCAAACTATTTCATTGCCTTTGTAAGAAGTGTTCTGTATACTTGTAATTAAGAATAACTAAGTGAACTATTAATAATTAGATCCCTCAATTTTAAATAGCAACTTTTCTTGTTATTCTCACATTAAAAACTATACAGGATGTTTCAATCTTAAATGATCTCTGTGGGTGGTATGAGTTGGATGATATATATGTGGTTTAATATAAATTATCTATCATCCTAAATTTTTAAAGAATCAAATTAAGTACCACCAATGGAAATTTTATCACTGTATTATTCAAAGTAAAGTTAAAATTATTTTAAAGTAGAGAGGAAATATGCTCTTGGATATGAATGTCTCTAGTAAACAAAAAAGTGGCTTTACACCAGAGCCATTAAAAAAGATTTTTAATGGAGCTGCCTGTTAAAAAAAACTTGGTATTTAAAGAAATCTGCATCTAGTAAAAACTTGATTCTAAGACAGAGGTACTTTTGAAAAGATATAAAAGTCTTGAGTGGTTAGTCTATCTAAATATAGAAATTTCTGAAGTTATTTAAGTTTTTTGTAATTTTTTCATTTTAATGACTCCTGATAATATTAAGCATGAAATTCTTGAAATTTTAAATGTGTTTTTCATGTATTGTCCTCATTTTTTCTGAAAAAAAAATTTAAATTATTTTGTTTTGCTTATGTAACTCTATCATTTTCACAAACCAACTGCTTGTTTATCAGTCAGTGGATTAAGATTTATTTAATCTGTTTACCTGCTAATAATTCTGTGTTTTCTGAAGTAGAAGTTTTCTGTAGAATTGTGGAGGTATTCTATAAATCTTTTTATTTTTATGGAACTTTGTTAATTTACAAAAAACGTAGTTATTTGTATTTTGCTACATAATTTGTTCAGTAACATTCAGTAAAATGCTTATAAAAGTAAAATTTAATTTATATGTTTAGAAAATATTAAATGTTAAGTCTTAAAGCAACTAGTCTGTACTATGAAAATGATATAGAAAGAGAAAAGTTACAGTTTATGTTTTACTGTTTACTATATAAAACTATATTCTATTTGTTTTAAATTAAATAATTGTATGTTTGTTTTTTTAAACTCCTTGTGAGTTTCAGGTTTGATTGATATTTTTTCTATTGTATTTCCCAGTTCTGGAGCAGTTCCTCCTGGGGATGCTTCCCTACTTATCCCTGATGCAATGAGAGATGTGCATACCTTGGTATGTTGCTTTTATGTTTAACTATTAACACCCAGATAGGTGCAGTCTGCTTCAATAGAAAAATTTCATTTATTTAATTCTATACATGAAAATTAAAAATAGCAAGTTTTGATTTTTGGTTGATTTCAATAAGCTCCCAACTGAATATTTTGTACTTGTGAATCACATAAATTTTTTGAGCATAATGTGATATTCATAATCCCCTAGGAGAAATGTCATAATAGTTTTGAATGAAGTAGTGCTAATTTGTCATTGTAACTTGAGTATACATGTATTTTTATCAATTTAATATAATCACTGTTTTTCAACCTCAGTTTTCATGGTGTGATGTAATTGCCTATACCTCAGCCTTCAGAAGTCATAGTCTAGTGATGTAAATATATCGTGAAAGCTTTTTTTCTGTTCTTTTGAAGTGTAAAATCTTATAAGGCTTCCAGTTCATTGGAAATTTGTGTAGAGATCAGAACAAAGAGTTGAAAACTTAGTTAGATGGTATGTTGCTGGAAAAAAGCTGTTTGTAAATAACTTCTGCTTCAATACAGTGTTGATTGTTTTGAAGTTTTTGAAAACTTGAAATGCTTTTTGTGAAATAAGATGAGGTAGGCACAGTTAAATCATTTTGCATTTGTTTTATCAAGTTTTCATTTGCTGATGAGGCTGTTGTGTTAGGTCTTGTTTGCATTAGGTCAAATTGGGCTTAGTAATTATTTCAATTAGCCAAGATAATTGCTGAAATAAATAAATAAATTGCTATAAAATGTATTTAAAACTTGTTACATATATTAAATGAAACTTTCTGATCAAAAAGAATAAAAAACATGGCTTGATTATAATTTGGTATTGTAAAACAGCTATTTTTATTTTATGATGGTGACAGTAAATGCTGTGAAACTGCATATATTATTTTTGAATCAAAACATATAAAATTTACAATTTTATGAAGTTAAAAGGAAAGGTTAAAAAGAATGTAGGAAGACATAAAACTAATAATTAAAATATACGACAAAGGTAAGCAGTTTTAATTCTTTGATAAGAAACATGCACTTACCTTCCCTCCTGCCCATTTCTTGTCTAATATTACATGTAAATATAAAGTATTTTTAGCTGTGGTACAGCAACTCATAGAATGGTTCCGAGTTTTTTTTTCAAGTACAAACTTTTAGCTCATAGCTCCATCATCTCTTGACGGATTTGAGATCTAATTACAATTTTGGACTCAGGAGGTTAAACACTTTCAATTGATTTATTTGACCATGCCCAAGGACCCATAGATTAATTTACTCTAATTCTGCCTAAAAGAATTTCATTTTGAGAGTAGGCTGGTAGAGATCCTGATGAATAATAAAATTGAATTGGGTAAAAGTGTGCCCCATGCTTGGTGTTGCTGGTGCACAAAAATATAGCTGATAAATTTACAATTTGAAACAGCTTTTGCATGACTAAAAAACAGTTTTGATATGTTTTTATGTACAGTTTCATTACATTGAATAGGATATTCCCAAGGCATCTGACCTTGTTATTTTTCTTTGAGAAATTATTGATATGACACATTTTAAAAGCTCAAAATGCACATGTTCCTATCAGAGTTGATCAAAGATAAAGAGTGAAAGTAGATATAAGATTAATTTTTATGATTGATAAAACCTTTCTTTTAGGTGAAGTATTTTGTTTTAATGGATTCAAGAGCTCGTGGTTTTGTGCGACCGATGTGTATGGCGTATGTGACTTCCGACAAATTAGTGTAGTTTTGTTGCTATTAACTATATATATATATATATATATATATATGTATGTATACCAGTATTTTGTTAAATTTTTAACTTTTTTTGTTATGTGATAGTAGTAGTGAAACTTTGTGCATATTAACTTCATAACAGAATTGTTAAAATATGTAGTCCTAATCTAGAACTTTCTCAAATTAAAAGAAAAGTTTATTTTTTAGCTTAAAATGTAGGAAATGTAACATTAAAATAATTTCTTGCAGGTGATTTTTTTATATAAAATGCTTCTGTATTAGATGTAAGGATAAAGTGTGTTATTTTTAAATTATTTGTTTTACTTCTGACTGTGAATTTTTAGTTCTTTATATGTGCCCATAAGAGAGTAGTGCTTCATTTCTAATTCAGTATAGAAATCCTTTGTCTTGAAAGAATAGCTATTTCACTTCTAGATTTATTGAAAGAGTAGTTATACATTTCTAGTAAAAATATAAAAAGCTTTGTCTTCAGCTTTTGTACTGATAAATAACCATTCAGATTCTATAACCCATGGTTAGGGTTTTTTCTATTATTTTGAAAGTTAGAAATATAACAGACTTTCTTATTAATTATATAAAAGAGAGTATACTTTGAGGACAGTTTCTGCATTTTACTATAGATTCATTGTTGAGTTCTTTTGTCTTTGAAAGAGTACTGTTCTTCATCTACTCTTTGTTGAGTTTCAACCAGTGTTAAAAGAGTACTGTCTAATTTATATTTGTTATCTGTGTTAATATTCTACTTTTACTCAATGTTTAGTTGCTAGCTGTGTTAAATGAGTACTACTCCACATCTAATCACTGTTTGAATTGCATTCTATGTATGGTAATGTGCTACATCTACTTACTATTGAGTTGTTACATTCAAAGAATATTGTTTTACATGCAATTACTCTTGAGTACCTATATTCCTAGAGTAGGTCTACGCCTATTCAAATTTGAATTGCCATTGTGTTAATAAGAGTACTGTTTCATTTTATTACATATTTTTGAGTTGCAACATGCATCTGTGCTAAAAAGGATTCAGTGTCATTTCTAGATTCACTTTAGTTCCTTTGTAGTACATTTCTAGAAAGCTTACAATTTACTGTAATACATCTTTAAAATTATGACAACTCAGTGTAATCTATTTCAGTGAGTTTGTATGTATGAGTGGAGTGTTTGCTTTGTAGTTGTTTAGTAATAGAGGATTTGTATTTTTTAATTTATCTGTGATGAAGGTAAAAAGGTGATAGTTAATAAGTCTTGTTTTTTCTATGTTTTTGCAATTATTCTGTGTTACTCTAATGTTTGTTTAAAGTATCCAGTAACTGTGAATAAAGATGAATTTGTAAATTAATATTTCCTTCCTTTCTTAGTAAACTTCTGACAAATGCTCCTGATATTGAAGAAGTACTGCAGAAGGTGAAAAATAAGTTGTATATTTTTTCTGTGTTTCTCATCAAGTTAATTTTTATATAGGAACTAGTAATTTTATTGATGTAGAATATGTATTTATTATGTTTTTTTCTATTTAAATATTTATGGATGTAGAATGTGTATTTATTATGTTTATTTGTATTTAAACATTTACTGATGTAGAATGTGAACTTATGTTAATTTCTATTGAAACATTTGCAGAGGAGGATAACATATTAATATTCTTTATTTGTATTTAAACATTTACTGATATAGAACATGAATATCATATATCTGTTTCTATTTAAACATTTACAGATGTAGCACATGTATATATTATAGTTATTTGTATTTAGACACTTATGGAGGTAGAACATGTGTTTATCATGCTCATTTCTGTTTAAACATTTACTGATGTGAAATATATATTTATCATGTTTATTTCCTTTAAACATTTACTGATATCAATAGTTTCTCTTCCAGACTTCCAAGATCTTGAAGCATAGCAATAGGAAACAGTTTTTACGAGAACTGGAAAATCTCATGGAAGATCTGGACCATTCAAAAAATTGTAAATTTTCAAACTATTGTTTTGAGAAAAAAAAAATTGTTTATCAGTATGGTAGAATATATTGTACTTCTGTCCCTATATGTTTTGTATGAAAATGTAAAGGAACTTGTGACTATATATATTTCATACAGCTATTGCTGATAAGATTTTTCAAGTTGTTGATCAGTGTATCAAGAATTTCTTAGTGAAAATGCAATGTCTACTGATTTTTAATTCATGAGAACCATGGAAACATTGCATTTTTACTTTTTCTTATGTTTTGCATCATATAGTATAATATATTTAATATTAGTAAAATATAATTAGAATTTTTTCTGTTTACAGCTTTCTTATTAAACTAATCCTGGTGTTTTAAAAAATTAAAATAGTAATACGAAGTCAGAAATAGTTCATCATTGCAGAATTTTATTTACATGTAAACCCGGAAGTGACACTGAACATGTTCAGTGTACAGGAAGAATAGGATCCTCAAAGCATTGAGGGTGATCCAGATGGATATTTTTTTCTTGTTTCTTAATATGTTGTGTGTAAAGTATCATGGACATCGGAAAAACACTCCATGAAAATCTTGGGAAAAACTCATGAAATTTTCTTCTTTTTGGCCAGTAGATATACCAAAATAAATTATTATTTTTATTTAGGTTTGAGAAAATAAACATGAAGAACATAATCATAAAGATATTTTAATGTCTGTGCTCTTACCTTTGTATATACAGTGTACAGAATAATATAGTCAATTACATATGCTTTGATATATATTAATTAGAAATATTAATACTCATAGATAGCTAACTAGACAAACTATAATTATTAGATATTAATTGATCTCAACCAAAAACATTGCAAAATATCACATTACAACTATTGATAAAGGAATCCAGTGACATAGTTTCAAAAGTTGAGGTCATAGTTCATTAATAAATCTGTTTTAGTTATTATGTGTTTATCTTGTTTATTGTTTCAACTGGTAAAATAAAGTCCAAAAGGAAATACATTAATTAGTATTGAAGTTAAAAGTGATTGGATACATGAAATGGAATTTCTTAATCAACACTAAAAACATAGAAAGTGTAAGACAAAAGCCAGCAATTAAAATTTTTTTTCAACACATTGTTTCACAACCCTAAAAATTATAACTACTAATTTAAATTATATAATCTTTATGCACAAAGTAGATACTAATTAGAAAGCATGTACCATGAATCATGCAATTTAGTACTGTAAGTGTGAAAATGAACAGGGTATCAGTGACAGCTGCCTGTCTAAAAAAGGGTTAACACTATATATTGGCATTTGAAGGATTACCTATTAGGCATAAACAAGTATTATTGAACTAGAATTAATTTCATGATTGAAATTTTACTTAATGTAAAATAAAAAGAAGAAAAATGTTTTCACCTGAATTTTGACACTGAAATATAATCATGTAAAGGGTAAAAATCAAACCCACTGTTTGTTGATTACTAAATAGATTTTATTACTATGTCAGGTTTCTTGTAAGGATGTTTAAAACAGGTAGTGGCAAAAGTTTTTGTTTTTAAGTCATTAATACACATCTTAGCAAAAAAAAAGTTGCTTATATTTGAGTTTATTTAATAATAGAAATGTGACAAAAACTCAAGGAAGAGGTAATTCATTAAAAAGCCCTTTTTTGTACATGAAAATGTATAGGGTAAACTTTTTGTTCTTTCATGAGCTTTCAAACCACTTTAGCTTTCTATTTTATTTGATAATTTATATTAAACAAATAAAGAATAATTTTTGATTCACTAACTTCAGGTAATATTGAAATCACAAAAATTTCTCCAATATGTATTTTTTAAATTCTGTTTTGAAACTAGCTCAAAACCACAAACTAACTCACTGTATTAGTCAGAAGAAATACACAGATGGAGTAGAATCTACTAATTCTGTGAAAATTGATTCTATTGAAGCTGTCAGAAGTGATCTTCAGCAGACAAAACAGCACATTAAGCCATTGCTGGTAAGATTACAGGCCTGTAACAAGTGAACTGGTTTATATATCAAAAATTCCCATTCCCTCTCACCCAAAGCTATCTCGACCTTGATTTGCCCTCTAAACATTGCTAACATTTTTCAACAGAGCACTAGTCTTTTATGCCCCTTCATTTTTGCACATCTAATTGGGGATAGATTGGAGTTAAACTTATTGTAATCATTAACTGGATACCTTTTTATTTTCATGTTCTCTAGGGTTGGTTTTATTTTTGTGTCCTTTGTCTAATAGATTCTTTAGGTGGACTTGTATGTTCCATATTTAAGTGTCTTTTATCTTTTGAGTTCTTTTAGTGGTTTTGTATATTGGTTGTTACTTATTACTGTTGTTGTTACTGTTTTAGGTCAAATTTCAGTTTTGCAGGTTTGTTATTTTTTATGTACTTTGTAGGCTTTACACATTTCTGTGTTTTGTTAGTTCGTTAGTAATGAGTACTTTCTCTCATTATGTTTAGTTTGTGTCTTTGGCTATACTCCATGACAGTTTCGTGAGCTCAGTGGGATATGTCTGTAGGTTTCTGCCTTCTGTTTTGCTCTCCCTCTATCCTCTTCCTTTTTCCTCAGGATCGTACTACGTCCAGTCATCTACCAATTCTGTTTGAGACCTACTACACAACAGAACTATTAAACAGGTGGTGTCCACTCAACCCAGAATTTTACTCCTGTCTATTTGTTGTCTCCAAAATACACAGGAGATTGGAGTCCCATCATAGCTCTTTCCTGGCTGTATTCTTATCTGGAAACACCTCACTCTGGAGCCCTACCTCTTACTTCAGTGGGTTTTTTGCCCCCCGTGGCACCTCATTTTTTTTATTTGTCCATGAGAGTTCTGTCTTCCAGTTCTGGGCACTGCCATTCGGTCTTTCTTCAGCTCTGTATGTGTTTTGTCAAGTGGTTTGCTCTTTTGCACATTCTCTTCACTCATTGGGTCATTACATGGATGACTGGCTTCTGCTCGCCTCTTCCCATGCTCAACAAGTCACTCACACTTGCTTATTTCTTTGAGAAGATGCTCGGATGGGGTTTTTTCATCAAATTGGAGAAGTCCTTTACTGACCCCTCGCAGTATCTTGTTCATTTGTTGGTTTTCTTCACTTTCCGTTTCAGTCGAGCCCATCTTTCTCTACTTCAGCTCTGGGATATGGAGCTGGTAGTCATGTAGACCTTATCATTTCCTTCTCTCTATGCAAGAGAGGTTCTTTCTCTTTTAGGATCATGGGCTTCCTTGGAAGCTTTTATACCCTTAGGTCAGGCACACATGCATTCTCTTCATTGAATTCTTCTCACCCAGTGGAACTTCCTCCAAGAACCCTTGGACCACTGCACCTCCCTTCCACCTGGGATCAGAGCTGACCTTGCTTGGTGGTTTGACAGGGACTTGACCACGTTGGGGATTCCTCCACTTCGTACTAAGTCTCACACGTTTACAGATGCTTTCTTGGTGGCTTTCCTCAATTCTACAGAGATTGTCAGTCGAGGAGGCTACTGTCCATTTACACATCCTGGAACCTTTTGCAGTTCATCGGGCTATGTATCATATCCTCCCATTCCTGCAGGGGGGGGGGGGGGGTGTGGCAGTTATGGTTCATTCTGATAATTCCACTGTCATCAGCTGTATTACCAAGCAAGGGGGAACCAGTTCCAGATCTCTGTGTTTTCAGACTCTGGATCTCCTCTACTAGACCATCAACCATGACATGACTGTTCTGGCATGTCATGTTCCTGGAGTTATGAATCTTGTGGCCAGTCACTTATCATGTCCCACCCTGGCTCTCCCCACAGAGTGGTACCTTCATCCTCAAATTGTTCTGTGGGTGTGTTCACTACTGGGAACTCTGCATATATATATATATATATATATATATATATATATTACTACTCATCTGGAATGACCAACTTCCTTTTTGGTCTCCTAGTTCTTCACCTCTCAGCTGTGGGGGTGGATGCTTTCACTCCAGATTGGAGGGGGTCTTCACCTATATGCCTACCCTCCAATCAGACTCTTTGTCTGGGTATTTTCCCTTATCCAGATCACTTGTTGTTTTCTGCTGTTGCTCCATATTGGCTGGCTCAGATGTGGTTCCATCTACTCTGGCCCTTACTGGTGCTACAGCCCTTGTCCTCATTTCAGTTGTTATTGCTTCTCTGTTTTTCATCCCAACGTCACCACACTCTAGCTTCACACGTGATTTTCTATAATCCTGTGCCTCAACTCTGGAACTCACCCCAAGTGTAGTGTCTTTCCTTGCCTGTACCAATTGCCCTTTCTCCTTGTTTATGTTGCAGAAGCTTTGGTCATACTTCAGACTTTGGTCTACTGGCCACAGCTTCCAACCATCCCATCCTTCTGTTCCTCACCTGTTGCAGTTCTTCATCTGGTAGTGCTATACCCCACAGGGGTGCCTCCTTTTATAACTGTGGCATACCTGTTCTTTCACAGTGATTGTTCTCCACTTGTTTGATTACTTTTGTGCCTTCACCTTTGCAATATGGGATTCTAGCTTTTGGTGAGAGGAGGTAGTATCATTTCAGAAGTTAACATTTTCTAACACTGAAAATGTATTTCCTATAAGTACTTACCTCTTGTTACATACTTTTTGCCCTTCCTCTCAACTGATATGCTGATGTTTCTGGCTTGTGTCTGCCAATTGTCAAAAGTGAGGATTGTGCTCCAATAATAGAAGGAGCTACCTGCACTAGTATAGGTTGTGCAGTATGATTGTTGGAGGGTAGTCACATGATCAGCACATGTTGCTGCAATGGTGCAAAAATGAAGGGGTATAAAATACTGGTGCAATGTTGAAGAATTTTAGCAATGCATAAAGGGCAAACCAAGGTCGAGATACATTTGGGTGAGGGAGTTACGTACCTATTGAAATACATTTTCAGTGATAGAAAATGTTCACATTTAAAAAATCCCCAAAACTAGTTACAAGTAATTTAGAGGGTATATTTTTAGTTAAATGTAAACTGAATCAGAAAATCTAGTTATGTTAAATGTATTATTATTAGTTTGTGTAACTGTGCAAAATTTAATAAAACTAAACAGCTTATTTCTGCACAACTTTTACATCTAATGTTAAAATTGTGTAATGACATTTTCAATGAGTGTTTAAAATGAATCATCCTTGTTTTTCTTCTGTTCAAGTGTGATTGTGAGGATGTAACTCTGTAATAATGAAGGAAATAAACCAGTAGTATATCTTTATCATTTATCTTACAATTGAGTGTTTCTTTTAACTGAAGGAAAAAACAGAATATTTGGAAGAAAAATTAGAAGAATTTTTAGATTTTCTACATCATCTGCCATATCAGACCACAAACTGCTATTTCAGGGCCACTTTAGAAACTGCCCGTAATCAAGCTTCTGAATTAGAAGTAAGTTCCCTTTAAAAGATGTTTTATAGCTTACTTGGTACTTGAAGTCCTCTGTAGAAACTGTTTGTAACCAAGCACTATGTTAGAGGCAAGTTGTTTTCCTTGAAGGTTATTTTGTAAGAATTGTTGTATTTTAGGTCTGCTATAGAAAGTGCTCGAGACAAAACTCCTGTAGCAGAAGAAAGCACTTTTATTCATGTATAAGTATCCAAACTTAACTGAAAGCAAATGTTGATGATAAATTGCTAAGTAATGGTTTTTAAATTATTTTCTTTTAGAAGTTTTCAGCATATTGTAGGTACAGCAATATTACAGAATCTTAAATTAATTTTTTACTTTTCTATTATGATTTTTCTATATACTTGTATTCCTGTTTTGTTTAAGTGCTTTTAAGGAGGTGGACTTGTTTTGTGAAGTTAGGGATAAGTGAAGGAAAAACGAATATTAGTTTAATGCACAGAAATTCTTGCTAATCTTATAGATTTATGAAAACAAGCCATTGTTTATAAATCAACGAGAGAAATTATAATGACGAAAGAGAAGTATCGGCTTATTAATTTGTTAAATTGTTTTCACTCAAAAAAATGAATTACTAAAAATATCATGGTGGAGGTTCTCAGCATTTCATTGAAGTTCTTTGAAATATTTACATATTAAGAAACGATGTGTCACATGTTTTGTTTTATAGCCTCGATCTCTGAACACACAGTTGTCTCGAAAGTTTTGTGATAACTTGCGGCCATTAACATCTCTTAGCCCTTCAGGATCCTTTTTTGGTTTGTACCTGCTGTTTGTGTTGTGGAAGGTATGAACATTTTGCTTCATATAAACATATGACTGTTATTACCTAAGCTGAAAAGTAAAGATCTATCCAACTTTAGCTTTTGTATAATAACATTATATAGTAACATGTCTACCTCACTTTATTTATTAGTGTCATTGTCAATAAGACCAGTTGGTGAATACAAAAGCTCGTCAGACTGACTGGGTTGCAGCATACAAGAGTATTAATTGCAACGTTTTTTAAATAAGTCATAATATGAGACATAAAATCTTATGGTGTGTACACCCTTCCTACTGAAAACTATTATTAGTGTAATAAAGAATGATGGAATTAAAATTATCATCATTGTTATAGTAACACGACTGTTATGTTGATCAGTTGTAAAATATTTGGTCTGAGAAGCTGTACCTATCCAGATGGTTATATCACTCATTTATGAATGTGTGCATTATGCTAACTTGTGTACTATATTTTAAAGCAACAAAATTAAACATATTGTCGATTTACCTCAAAACAAAATCAATACACTGGATATTTAAGAAATGTTATTAACCTCTGAGGCGATCAATATCCAATAACCACTTTATGAGTGTAGATTCTTTAGGAATAGTAAATTATTTTACAGTCTAAAGTCAGCTAATCTTGTGAATTTTCTGTGTATGTTTTTAATTATAATTCATAAAATGGTTGAAAATGATAATAAAAATGTGATGTCAGCTAATCTTGTGAATTGTCTATGTATATTTTTAATTATAATTTATAAAGTGGGTTAAAATTATAATAAAAATGTGATGGTTATAAATTTGTTTTACTTTTTAATTACTAATGAGTACTTAAATGGACTGAAAAGTAATTGACTAAAAACAAACAATATGTATATTTTGTATTAGTTTCAGTTATAATTTTTTTAATTGTAATATCTGAACATGCATGGTATTGGCCCATTAGACCAACCTTATGTTGGAGAAGTAATGTTGACAATAATTCCAAACTTACAAAGTGTGTCTTTGTGAAATGTGGCAAGCATTTAGTCAACAGCACAAGTCTGTTGCACATAGAAATACAGGTTTTTCAATAAGATATTTTTCACTAAAAATTTATCAATGAATTACTCAAAAATTAAGGTGTGTTACTAAAATTTTTATTCTAAAGATGTGTGTGTGAAATGCCAAAGTCAGTCTGACTCAGACTCTGACAAGTTGGAGTGCAAAATGATGTTCATGTGAAGAATAAAAATACTTTTTTCTATTGTACAAGTTACAAATTGCATTTGTATAACTTCTATAATCTCATAAGTAATATCTAGAGTTTTTTAGGATCCCTGTATATTGTATTTTCTCTACTCTGTTATGAACTGTTGCAAAATTGTCAGTGTAGCATAATATGAAATTTGATAACTCTGATATCAAATTCATAATGCCAAAAGCAGCTAAAGTAGCTTAGCTGGAATACTGAGTATCTGAAAGGGGCAGGTAATTTAGAAAATATTTTTATATGGATAACTGGATATCTAATAAATGTATAAATTCAATATGAATAGTGTTAACTGCTCTGTTTATTATAACTAGCAGAGACCCGCAAAACAATTCCGGCCAAATTAGTATCTTTATCGTAACAGTACTTCTTTAAATATAACATTTCTAGCACAATACCAACGAATTATAATCGTAGACAACTAAATGTGTAAATCCATTTGTATAT